ATAGAGTGAGGGCTGAAAACTGATGAGAAGGTAGTGTTTTTTTTTTTTCCTGCTCGTGATGATCGAATTTGTTCGTAAGTGGTTTTTGAGTGCTGTAGAGTCCAACTCAACGTGTTCACATGTGAAAAGTGGGCAACCTTTTTGTCTCCTTTTTCAACCATTGGAATTATTTCGACGACCTCTAAAGGTATGTTAATAATGTCTTTTGCCCGCAGTGGTCCGCAGCCGGAAAGCGGTGGTGGCTAATGACGATGGCTGGCTGATTGACCGCCGTGATTTCTGGCAACTGCAGATGGTACTGTTTGTTTGTTGGTGATTCTCTTTAAATTGATTAAATTAAATTGCGTTGTGGAATTTATTAGTATGTTAGTTAGGATGTGTTTGTAAAATAAAAATCGGAAATCAAATTAATTCATACTCAAAATTTAACTCAATTTCACTATCCCAATATATATTAATATAATTAAATAATAACAATCAATAATGAAATAATAACAACCAATATTTTTACACATTATATCAACTTTATTTCACTATTTATTTACTCGCATAATTTTAATTAATTATCACTTCATATAATTTGTAACAGCCTATTTTGTTATTAATAAAAGCGATGTTTTAGCTTCCGAGTTTGAGCTATTTTCTTTTTATTAATAATGCTGATTTCTAGTCTCTGACCCCAGTTATTGAGTTATTCAGTTCTAAGTTCGAAATTTTAACTCGAGAATATACGCGGTTTAAATTTAGTAACCGAGTCAATTCTAGTAATTAATTCCGGTCAGTTTATTTTATAAATGGATATTAATAATTTTTTTTAGTAGGGATTAATTATTTCAAATCGATGAATTAATAAGAGTCGAGAAAACTCGAAAAATCGTCTCAGTGGGAACCGAACAAGTCCGGCCCAAAAGAGCCGCGCCTAGCCCTAATGCGCCGGCCAATACAAGAGCCCAATATCTAGCCATAGTCCATTTAATTTTTCAGCCATTTTGTAAGTAAATCCTCATTGCATGGATGAGCATGACACCTAGATTAGGATTAAAATAATTAAGTTTCACCTGAGCTAAATGCATGGACATGTGTCCTTAGATGGTTTAAAAGAAAATCCCATGTTTCCACTAATTTTGTTGAAAATAAATGGACCAATAAACTCAAGAGTAACACACCAAATTAAATTTATTATTTCAAATATATCACTAAACTTACAATAACACTAAGGAAATTCACTCTATCAAATCACTTCTCTCACTTACGTACAACACACACAATACCTCACTCACTATTTTATTATTAATCAATCACAACACTTAAACACACACTTAGGGTGTGATTGGTTGGATGGATTGGGCTTGATATCACACCATTTTATACTATATCCATCCTGTTATCATGTTTGGTTCCCATAAAAAAGCCCTGGAAATAAGTCATGGCCCGCTCAATTATTAACAATTTTCAGTATTATGTATACCACCTATTTGGTGGGATGTGTAATCTTTACTTTCTAATTTACAAAAATAGCCTCACCCTCCTTCCTCCACATACCCGTGCATAAAAAAAAGGAAGATCTCTGCATCAAAATTAACCCTTAATAGGAGCTCGAAAAAATCTCTGCATAAAAAAATCTCTGCATCAAAAATCTCTTCCAACAATTACCCATCAACATCCATGGACATCCTTTTCAGGAGCTTCGAAAAAAGTGGCCGAGCTTCGCGGAGGACGTTGGCGGCGAGAAATTCTTCTAGCCGCTCCGAAATCGAAGGGTTTGTGCTTTGATTTGCCGGAAGAATTTGTGCTTGATTTGTGAAATTCTCCTTGCCGCGGAAGTGCAATAGAAGAATTTTTGCTTTGATTTGCCGGAAGCAATAGGGTTTGTGCTTTGATTTGCCGGAAGTCGTTCATCGCCTCAGAATTCAGGAGAAAAATAGTGAAGGATTTGGTTATTTTGTGTTTTATGTTCAATTCGTCATTATCCATCTATAAATTTGCAGTTTGAGGGAAGAAATTGAAAATGAGGGAAGAATTTGCAGTGTGAGGTAAGAAATTGAAAATGAGAGAAGAATTTGCAGTGTGAGCCGTGAGGAAGAATTGAAAATGAGGGAGGAATTTTGAGCGTGGGATTCTAGATTGTCTATGGGGCAAGAATTGAAAATTTAATGGTAAATGAAGGGCAAAAAATTAATCTAGTCTTAAAGGTTATAATTATCATTCTTCAACCAAATGAGTTAATGGGCTAGGTAAAATGTGAGATAGCCTTTGATAAAATCAAAATGATTATATCAAGCCCAATAACCCTTTCCCAACCAATCACACCCTTAATATTTTATTGCACACACTCACTCACGCTCTCTTTTTTTTTTTAATTATTCTGATCACTCACACCACACACAACTCACTC